GATCTCCATTCATTACGCGGCATTCATCTTTCACCTTTATGTTTCACCCTTTCACCGAACCGCGTTGACAAAACTGTTGCCTTAGTTCCTAATGCCGCATTATCCTTCGGCTCGGATTGTGTCCTGTGAAGTGACATTCCATCTAATTTGAATATTTTACCGCCGTCGTCGTCGTCGTCGTTTCCCACGATTTATGCTTATGATTTGCCAGCGGTCCTTTTCTTGGGCCTCTCCACTCGACAATCCTTAACCCTGCTCATTCTATGCTAATGCAGTTGCCATAAATTCGCTTCCTTCGGTGGTCCTGGCTACAGGTTCGCCTTTCTTGCGAGTGTGTGTGTGTTCCCCTCGAAACCCATATTCGAATGAAGTCCTTTGTCTGGCCCGTAATTGTCGCTGAAATTATTTACACATTTTTAATTGGCACTCAAGTGGTCGGGCACCTCCTGCTGATATTTCTCGTTTTCTTCTCAAATCGATTGCCTAGACTTCCTCATTAGTGACAAAAGCATGTGGAGGTTGTTTCATTATTCTATTCTTTAGGATGCTTGAAAGGGAAATATTTAAGTAACATTTAAAAGCTTTCAACAATAAAGCACTTTCTTCAATTAGTTTTGTTTTTAATCATTTAATTAATTTGTATTATTTAGTTATTCAGGGCTTATTTAGCTTTAAGTTTTGAGAGATTAATCACTATCATAGCTAAGTTAAAAGATGTTCTACACATTGCATCTCAGTTTAATGATTATTTTAAAAATTTATATAAAATAGAAATGTTAATTGAACTATATTTTTCAAATATATGAACAAGAAAGTCCACAAAAAAATAGAAACAATATTTTTAAGACAGTTTATAATCAGTTTTGAATAGTTACTTTCATAAATCGAACCACTATCTGTCACTAAGTAAAAATCAAGCAATAGAGACTACGAGTTAGAATAAACTTGTCGAGATTTTATATCCGACTTCGAGTTAGGGAAGTTAGAGATACGAAACTAATCTTTAAAAATAGAACAGAATATCCTAGCCTCATAATTATTACTTTGCTGTGACACTGAAATGATCTGCCTTTGATTCCTTTGAGTGCCACTTTGAGGCGGCACTTTTGACCTAGTCCTTTAATTTGGAACCGCCTCCGATTGATTGTCCCGTCATTCGAGGGGCACTTGTGGGGTCTGAGGTGGCCCAGAGGAAACCCTATAGAGTATCATTTGCTTTGCTGACTCGAGGGAAGCGAGTGCAAAAACGTTAAAAAAAAAGTAATTATGCCGACTAAGAGCTTCATCAGACATCCCATTATGCGGCCTGCACTCGACACAAACACACATGCCACCGTGGTGGAAACAAAAGCTGGGCGGGCTACCTTTGTGCCAGCCACAGTGGCCTCGCCCCCTCAACGCCCATCGCCCATCGCCCCACGCCCACAGCTCACCGCCCAACGCCCAACGCCCCTTTTCAACGTCATCATAAATGTTTGCATATGAAGTGCAGGGCGACGGAAAAGGGGGTGTGGCATGCACTTGAGTTGAGGCATTGAAAAGAGGAGAAAAACCTTGCGTTGGGATTAAAAATGCAGCGCATTGAATTTGCACAGCCTTCGCAACACCCTTTCCCCTTTTCTTTTTTTCCACCGCCAGCCTCCATTTGCAACAAATAATGATGCACTTGAAAAACCCTGTGTGTGTGTGTGTGTGTGTGCAAAACAACAGCGGTAGAAGTTGCAAAAAAAAGAAAAAATATATCATTAAAAGCTTTCCCTGCTCTATGCTGAATCCCTCGCTCCTTCGTCCTGGAACATCGCTTTATTAGAGCCAAAGAACCGAGCCGCTACTTGCCGACATCCATGCCATTAATATTTCATTTAACGCTGCAATTGTCCCAAGAGCAATACCGCCCCCTCCCCACTCCCCGCTCCATGGACCACGCCCCCTGCTTACACCTACCTACGCCCCTAAATAGCCTTAAAATGTTTAATTCATTTTATGCGATTTCATTCAGCTCGGGTTTTAATTATGAGCAGAGACCAGTGCTGACGCCGCCTCGAGTGGATAGTCAGCCGCAGAGGGAGCCGAGTTCAGCGGGGAGGTGCACTGAGAAAAATGGCATCTTTATTCACTAAAATAATAAATAAAAGGCTGGGATATCAAACACCATTTTATATAATAAGAGTTAGATGTAGAGGTCTACACCAACCTTAAAATAAAGAAGGAAAACTTCGTTTTGACACAAGAAAAATGTTGATGGCTAGTTTATAAATTATACCCATATTTTAAAACTAATCAAATGAAACTTTCCTAATTTTATATTACTTGAAAGTAAGAATTTAGAGTTCATTATTATATTTAAAATATGTTGTTAATTTATTTTTTTTGCTTTACTTATTACTATTATGTTTAGTTAAAGTGCAAAAAAGATAAGATAAGATAAGTAACTGAAATATAGTTTAACAACATATTAAAATACAATTTTGATTTTTAATGAATAAAAGTAACAATTTAGAAATAAGTAGAAATACATGGACAGTAGTCATTTTAAGATGTCATATTAATAACCATTATAAATTAAAAAAATGTTAATTCATCTGCAAAGAAACCGTACCAATGCGTATATAAATTTTTTTTCAGTGCAATTGTGTAGATGCCAGTCAACTGACTTGTGTAATTTGTGCATAAGTTTCATTTACTTTGGGGGCGACATAATCTTCAGTTGCTTACTCCGCCCCACGGCTAATGTCAGCCATGGTTGCTGCTCCTCCTCCAGCTCCTTCTGATCCTGCGACTACTCCTGGTCCTGCTGCTCCTTCTGCCCCCTCCTCCTGACCCCCCCCCTCTCCATCACCATCTGCGTCGCCAGCTCCTTGGGCATCCACTTTTCCAGGCTGTGTCAGCCGCATGGGGCGTTGGCAACTCTTGGCGCTCGAAAAAAATTGTCTCAATGGCCTTGCCCGGTCTGGTTTGGTCTGTGATTATGCACTTGATGTGATGTGCATAAAGCTGAATTTTAATTACGAGTAAATATTTAAACCATTAAGCTCGAAAAGTATGCTGCAGGCTAGGCAGTAGACTTTGGTGTGCCAGAATGAGGAGGAGGTGTCCAAGTGGATGTCGTTGGCTTTTCGCAAGCAGTTATGTTACAACCAAGAAAATTAGAACGCACTTGAGGACAAGTAACAAGAAGCCAAAAAACTTAATTATTTCCCTAATGACAGGTGGAAAACTGTTCAGTAAGGCATGAGATTTAAATAAATAAATTCCCTAATTGGGTTCAAATTAAAGAAATTAAAATGTTTTAAAGATTAATCAAATGTTGCCTTCTTTTGAATAGTATTCTTCTTATTGCAAATTTTGTTTCTTTACGTATACATTTTTTTTAATTTAGAAACTAAAATTTTTACAGGTCTGCTTAATCTTTAGCAATAAATGAAATACGAAGGATCGGCCGAATATATCCTATAGCTGCAATATCCGCTTTTCTCGCCAATATTCTCTTACCTGGGAGATAAGAACTCGTTACCTACCGATAAGCTGGAATCAGTTAATATGTAATCATGTAACAACTGTAAGTGCCCAACTGTCCGGTCATCGTTATCAGACCTTGTCGAGTGACTAAGGCACCTCATCATTCCCCCTAACCACTGGAAATAATACCTATAAACTCTGATTTATGGAGCCCCGAACTTCCAGTTGGGTTCGAGTGAGAAGTGTTTTCTTTCGCCGTATCCAGTGTTCAACGCGTTGCTGGGTGGTGAGGTTGGGTCGGTTGATTATTTACTGGTACTATGAAGATACATGTGGCTATCCTGCTCGCCATCACCATGGTCGTCCAAATATTCAGATTGATGTTGTTCCCGGCTGGGGTGGCGCATATTATCCTCCGCCGCCTGCGCCTCGGCCCGCGGAGGTAGTCTACATGACGCGGAACTCAGGTGATGATGCCGCAGCCCGATGGCGGAATCAAGGTGGCCACCAACCGATATTAACCCCAACAGCAGCCGGGATACGAATATCAGTTCCAGTACCAGTATCAGCAGCCCTACAACAATCCACCCTATCCAGGGATATAGTCGGCCGATCCTTATGAAATTTGGTAGGTCGAATTGATTGTCCAAAAATAATACTCATAAAAAATCCCAACTTCCGAACTTATTATCGCATTTTCGATCAATCAGTTATTTTTATTTTTTTTTTTTTCGCGCGGAGTCCCACGGCCCACTTAACCGCCCAACCGACCGAGGGGCGCAGCCGTGTATCGTACGGCACGATTCGCGATAGGATAGACGCGAGATAGGAAAATAAAGGTAAAGGTCCGGGGAAAAAAGTAATAGTTAGATCAATCTTGTGCCAATGAAGCAAGTATTAATCGTTTTAGGAGCGGCAGAGAGTCAAGATTTGATATTACAGGAAAAAGTCTATTATAGTCAGAACATAATACTCTGAAAGGCTCATGCAAGGCATAGTTAGATCTACAATGATTTAAAATTAGGGGAATATAATTTCTAGTTAATCTACTTGGCACAGAAAAGTTTAGCCGACTTAACAAGTCGGGGCAGTCAATATCACCATGTATAAGGTTATAAATAAAGATAGTACCAAGCATCGTTCTACGGTTGGCTAGGGATGGTAAATTAATCAAAAGAAGTCTACTAGAATAAGAAGGTAAGATAAGATTTGCATCCCAGTTTAGGCGCCGTAAAGCAAAAAGAAGGAAGTTTTTTTTTTTTTTACTGTAAATTTTTTTTATATGGCGGCTATGAGATATAGTCGGCCGATCCCGGGCGTTCCGACATATATACAGCGGGCAAAGGTAAGAAGGGTGTGTGGAAAGTTTCAATTCGATATTTTTAAAACTGAGAGACTAGTTTGCGTAGAAACAGACAGACGGACATGGCTATATCAACTCAGGAGGTGATCCTGATCAAGAATATATATACTTTAAGGGTCCGAGATGTCTCCTTCACTGCGTTGCACACTTTTGACCAAAATTATAATACCCTCTGCAAGGGTATAAATATACTAAAATGAAAATGAAATTTGAAAACATCGATTAAAGTTAACATCGCAGTAGGCTACGTATTTTAGAGCAACTTACACATATTGAATAGAGCTAATAATTTCAACCAATTTAGTCGTTAAGGACACAGAATGCCGCCAAATCGATTAAATATTTACCGCCGACGCAGCAAGAATCTGATTGAGCAGTTTCATAGGGACTTGGACTCGAATCCAGATGGAATAGAACCTGCGCCGCCATCTAAAAATCTGATTAATATCATTCAGAAGGCGGGCGATGCCAGTAGGCCGGTGCAGCAATTGTCCGCCGTTCAGGACATCCGCCAGTTGCTCTCCTCCAAGAGTCCGCCCATCAAGGACCTGATCCAAGGCGGCATTCTGCCCATCCTGGTGGAGTGCCTCAAGAAAACTAGCCCCAAGAGTCAGCAATTCGAGGCAGCCTGGGCCTTGACCAACATAGCCTCTGGAAACTCAGAACAAACCACTCAGGTGGGATAAGGATTTTAGTACCCTATATTTTATATTATTTTATATTAATTTAATCTAATCAATTTTTAGGTAGTAGCTGCTGGCGCCGTTCCACTTTTTCTGGAACTCCTCAAATCTCCAGATTTGGATCTCTGCGAACAGGCCATTTGGGCTTTGGCCAACATTATAGGCGATGGTCCTTTGCTGCGGGACTTTGTCATCAGACTGGGCGTGGTTCCGCCCCTGCTCTCCCTCATCCAACCGGATATGCCCGGCCAATTCCTGGCCAATGTAACAATGGCCATTGGGAATCTATGCCGGCACCACGATCCACCGATATCGGCCGAAACAATTGGTCAGATCCTGCCGACACTCGATGTACTGATTCATCACGAGGACACGGAAATACTGGTGTCCACTTTGTGGGCAATCAGCTTTTTGGCCGGCGGCGGTCAGGATCAGATCCAAATGGTGATTGAGAGTGGAGTGCTGGGCAAGTTGATATCCCTGATGGGACACAAGGACATCGAAGTGGGAAGGGCAGCAATGCGAGCCGTGGGTAATATCCTGACCGGAACGGATGAGCAGTGCCAGAAAGTTCTTAACCACCATCCACTCTCGTACTTCCCGTCCGTGGTCCTCTTTTCCAATACGGATGAGGTGCACTTCCTCTGGAGAGCCACTGCACGGAATGAGCACTGGGTGCAGGCCTTCATAAACGGGGGAATGTTGCACAAAATCATTGGGATTTTGAAGAAGGGAGGAATGCACGAGAAAGCAGTGGCTGCCAGGGCCATAAGTAATCTCACAGTCGGTTGCAATGAGGAGCAGTTGCTGATTTTCATTAGAAAGGACGTCCTTCAGCCGTTCTGTGATCTCCTCATCGGCCAGTTTGAACAGATCACCCTCGCTGTGTTGAATGGCCTGAACAATATGCTCAATGTATCCAATTCCCATGAGGAAGAGGTGGCCCAAGCCATAGATGAATGTGGCGGTCTGGCCAAAATCGAGGATCTGCAGACCCACGAAAACGTGTATATCTACAAACAGGCTCAGGAAATTATCGAACGATATTATGGCTATGAAAATAGCGCAGCTTAAATTGTTAACGGCATTATTTAATTTTTTATTTACCTTTCTACTTGAGACCTTTTGAATAAAAATGCCAGTCAATACCATTTATTCATTTCAAACTTTTCCCATAAATATACATTTTTTGCTTTGTTAATTCTCTGATTAATTTGAACAAGAACAACGGGAAAATATTTTATTAATTGTTAAGCCCTTGGTTGGGGGCACTCAATTAAAAGTTTCAACATCGACCATCAGACGAATGTCGATAACAGTGGCGGTCGAAAGTGTGTGTACATGGGTAATCAATGCAAATAAACGGGAATCACTCATCGATCGATGTTAATAAAAAAATGGGAGAAACAAACGAAAAAACTTTTCAACAAAGCCATAAAAATGGCGGAGTGTACAAATGGGGAAAAAAAATTTAATTTTAAGGGAGGAGGAACCTCTGTTTTTGTTGCTTGTTGTTAGCTGTTTGCCTGCTGCCTGCTGATTATGTGTATTTGCATGCTAAAGCAGTTGTCCTGCGGTCCCCGCCCCTCCCCCTTCGTCCTTGTCCGGTAATGGTCGAAAGTGCCACCCACTAACCACCCACCCAAACCCCCACCCATTGCCCATCTAGTCCACCCGTCACCCTCTTGTCTACGCGTTGTTAACGTAATTTCCATAAAACATTTTGTTACTTATTTATCTTAATTAAAATAAATTTACATTTTTCTAATTTAAGAGCGCGACGGAGGAAAAACAACAACGACAACTAGTCAGTCGTGGCCCCCTTCTCTCCACCACCCCTCGAATTTTCCCTCGCTTGTCAAGCTTTAGAGAGCGACGTTTTCTTAACAAGCCAAAGGACATTTTGCTGTCCTATGGGGAAAATGGCGAGCCATCGCACAAAGGTTCAGGACGAAACACAACAAGAAGCAATAGAAGGAAAAGCGAGGCATAAAAAAAAGCTGGAAAAACTCAGCGTAATGGAAAGTTGCCTGGGCTCTTCGTTTGGATCTCATTAGCGCCGGTTGCCACGAGACTGAGTCTTAAACTCAGTGCTGATGTCCCGGAGTCCAGGACTCTTCTGAGAAATCCCGGGTCCTGGGACACCGGGAAGAGCATAAAATTAAAAGCTGATGAGCTTGAATGCTGCACAAAATAAAAAGATTTTTTCACGTATTTGCGTAGTTTGTGTCCGGCGATTTTTTCCACTCCTCTTTTGCCTGGAAAAATACAAAACGAAATGTTTGCCTGAATGCATGGGGGAAAATGCGACAGGAAATATGAGCAGCAAATGGAGTGGACGCAATGGGCAGAGAAGAATGTTCGATAAAAGGACATCAGGCAGTGACTTTGCTGACTGGGAACACAGGCATAGATAAAGGAAAAACACAATAGATAATTCGCATAATTGATTGAAATTAAAATCTTGAGAGGAAAGTCTAGGAACTGCATAACATTGTTAAAAGTAATGTGAGAAATTAGGTTATTGACAAAATGCAGCGGCCATGGTTTCTTTTTATAATGATTAACTTTGTATGTAAATATTTCTATATTTTTATTGTTAGGAAAGGCCAGCAGTATTGCTACAATGGTTTTGAAATGTCTATTTCATTGCAATATTAATGTTTAATTAGATTGCCAACTTTGATTGGAAACAAATTCCAAGCCACATGATTAATTAAACTTAAGTCTAATTAAGAATTTAAGAGAAAAGATGTGTTTTTAAGGAACGTTTGCTTACAATTTAATGTTCTGCACTTAATCTAATGTCCTAGTAAAAGGCATTGCCACATTATAAATGAATATCAAATCGTATCTATCAAATCTTATCGTAAGATCCTTCTGCCTCTTAGTATATCAAGTACAGTTGCCTAGTGGATGACTAATCATTAGCCCAACATTAGCCGCCTTGTTGGTCCTGTACCGTTAGCCCGCGATCCGGGCATAAACAAGGCAAATCGCCAATAAATCAAAAATCAATACAGTCAACGCCATTTTGCATTCGCTGGTGGGAGATGAAAAGCGTCAACTGAAACCAATACAAAGGCCATAAGTAAATCCGAGTTTGGCCCTCTCTCTCTCTCTTACTCCCCGTCAGTCCGTCTCTGTCTGTCTCCGCTGGCTGACAAGAAATGTTAGAAAAGAAACAAGCCGAAGAAAAGTGGGCTGGAGGGGGAGGCGGGGGAAAGCATCCACCCGCCAGGACAAAGTCCTGAAAGAAGGGGAGGAGTCAAGCCAAGGGAAGCTTGAAAAGAAACTGCGCGGCATTGGGAAAAAAAGGAAAATAAAAAGTAAATTCAAAGCAAACGAGACTAAAATTATAAAAATTGCCCTCCTGGTGGTTCAGAGTGCGCCCCCATCCAAAGTTTCGTCCTGTCGCTCCTGCTGCTCCTGCTCCTGCTCCTTATCCTGCTCCTGATGATGATGATGATGGCGATGGCGGTGAGGAGGACAAGGACCAAGAGCAGGACCAAAACGAAACGAACGCGATTCCAATACGGGACATCAACGTCACTGAGGGTGGATGGTCCGAGTTCGAGTTCGAGTTTGAGTCCATATCCTGGGGGTGGTATATAAGGACACCCCCTCCCCGCCGTCCCTTCCCTCTATATGCAGGAGCCATTCTATATACACAGCACTCGCTTCTTCGCCTTGTGTATACACTATATAGCAATGGCCCGCAGCGTCAATGGACCAAAATAATAACGACTAACGGCCTGTTAAGGGAAAATGCAACGGTATAAAAGGGAGGGGCTGTGAGGGGGAGGGAGTGCGAAGGAGCGGTGAGTGGAGGGGGACTGGGGGGGCAAGGTTTTTTAAGTGGTCGCGCGTGACGTGAACATCGGAGTCATACACCTAGAAAATATTAAAATATTTTAAATTTGGAATTAATTATATTATATTTAAATATTTTAAGGGTCCTTTCAGAACATTTCTTCTTATATACTTCTGTTTTTTTTTTTAAATTTATTAATTATAATGTTTTAAAATTTGCCCGTGCTTGTATTAGTTGATCTTATTGCCAATTGAATAAATGTATTGAAAAAGTTTGAGGATCTCAAACTATTTTAATTATTCAATTTAAAATAATTACGCATAATTTATAATTTTCGTTTTTGAGTGTCATATTTCCATATTTTTTTAAAAAATGTAATATAAAACCAACAAAAAAACACGAAGGATTGTTTTATTCGTGCACCAGAAATAAAAAAGAAATGTTTACCTATTTCAGTTAATTGTTTGTAACTATTTTTGGTTGAGAAGGCAGCTAAGTACGACAATGATGTTTGTAAGTGAATTTATTAATTTTAAATGGGATTTTCGGGATTACAGATCGAATTCAGATCTAAGCACCATTCCTTTTTCTCAGTGTATAGGGCTGTGGAGACGGAGGACATCTCCTGCTGACGTGGTATTTGCCAGCTCCGACTCTGATCGGTTGGCCGCCATGGCAAAACAAATTTTCATACCACCCTCGCCCACTTATTTGCACACAAAACTCTTGTTACTAGCTGCCATTATGATTTTGAAAAGCCATTGCCATTCCACCCCCCTCCCCGCACTCTCGACCATTTTTTACACCCCCTCCGTTTCGTTTTTGCTCATTGAAAAACTGTGAAATTTTATAATAAGCATTTTTTTGTTGGTTGTTGCTGCCAGATTATTGTCGATGATTGTGATTGCGTTTTATGTTGTTCCTTTTATTACCAGGTCAGAACGGGGAGTTTTTTTTTATGTTTTTTGGGGATGGGTCCCCATTTTCTGCTTTTATATACGCCCCCATTCTGGGAACATTTTTTGTGGACGGTGCTGTAATATTCCTTTTGAAAAAAAAATATTATTTTGTTTGCCTCGTGCGCCTCTACTGCCATCGGATTTTTGTGCTCGGCCAGGCGCTATTGGTCTCCATTTAAGCTTATTAATTTTAAATGCGATTTTTAATTAAATATTATCAAAGCGTGTCGAGGGCGTCATTAAGTTCGAATGCTTCAGATGTAGCGATTGGCGTTTAATTGCAGGGCAGAGCGATGCTGGGGAGATTATTGAAGAGATGTTTGAAAATCCCTATTAACGAATCGATTTCCACTAAGTGGATATTTTTAGAAGCGCGGAGAGAGGCGCTTTTCCTATTCAATTAACGCTGTATGTGGTTCTCAGTAGAGCAAAGAATTGATACGACATGCTGATGACCTAAGAACAAATTTAGATGTTATTAAAAAGTATTTATATGTATTTATGTCACACCTTCATATAGGTAACCAAAGATATAGGTGGCAGAGTCGGCGGTCTAATTGAAGCCTGCTTCTGACTTCTCAAAATGAGTAACTTCAGCATACTGCAATAGGATTTGCTGCACTGAAACCACTTCTGATTGTAGGCAGCATCGCCCACTCGCAGGCTCTAAAAAGGTTATTAAGTTGAGTGGCTTGACTTCTATATATTTTATGTTCCTCTTACAGCGGCAATCAAAGTGTCTCCATAGTAGCACACTAAAAACACCTGCACCAATGAGGTCATCAAGAATATGCAGTAGATAATGATAACTTCCACGGTGGACTCGGTAACTTGAAAGGCTATAAAGCAAATCTGCATGGAGGCCATCAAGAAATTTAAGAGCAGCGAGAAGCTGTACAGATCATTTACACTTTCGCAAAGTCTGAAAAATAGAAATATGGAATAGGTTTGGAAAATAAAGGAGCATGTTTTCCACTTACTTCAGGCACTTATCGTGGTACCTGATTATCCCAATGAGGAACTCTATATTTTCTCTATCCTCCTCCGATTTACATGGATGCTGCTCCAATCGCATGGATATGTAATTGAAGTGCATGCAGATCTGTGTAATCACCACGACGAGTAGAAGATCAGCGCAGAGAAAGGCAATTCCCGCCAAATAAGCTCCATGAGCTATATCCCAGTACATGATCCAGTAAACCCAATTACTACTTGTGGCATCAAAGGGAAACCAGATGAGGAAACCGAAATTACGATCGAAGGTATCGTAGCCCAGTAAGTTGAACTTCACCGAAGCCTTTATGGCCGGATCAAATGAAAATGTGGTCGTATAGGCCAAACAGAGAAAGGTGAAAATGTTGATCACCCGTTTCATGGTCTTTTCAAAATCCGACAATTTGTATTCCTTCTGTTTCTCCAGGGTCTTCGGATGCATATCCTCCAGGTCATCGAGCAGCATAATCATGGTTTTTCGACCATTCACCATGGCAACTTGTTTGAAATCAGCCACCAAGGAAAATCCAATACAGGGAGCCACGGCAATGGCCAAACGAATGGTGTCAAAGTCCTGCAATGAGTTATAGAAAAACACCAGTTCGCCGATAACTAGCAGATTGAAATTTATAAATCCCGCATATAGGTAGATCTTGAGCAGAAGCGATTTCAATGGATTCGTGGAGCGATGAGCGTAGATATCCTCTCCAATGCTCCTGTAGAACAACACTGGCATTCGCATCATGTCCATAAAGGTCCTGGCTGAATTATCCACTGCCTTTTCCATTTTATTTTTAGGTAACTTTTCCAAGAGATTTTGAACAGGAACTGTTTGTGGTCAGTCCACCGCATTGGTTTTATATAGCGGACGACTGTGGGCGTTTCTGGCAAGTTTTTTGTGCCCCATCATGTCGCGCCTTGAAAAGTGTTGATAATTGTGCCTAAACTTTTAACTAACCAATGTAATTAGCTGTGAACTTTTCTCACTCTTCTCGAACAGCTGAGAAGGTTCCCAAAAAGGAGGAGGTTAGGGGGCTTGGGGAAACAGGACTCGACCTTCACCGGCCGTTAATCAACGTGAATTGCAACAAAAGATGTCCCCATCCTGACACCTGGGAAAATTGTGTGCCACACTGTACAAAAAAAAAACTAATTTTAACTTAATAAAAAGTAAATGGGTCTAAAATAAGTTTTGGGTACTTATTTAAAATTCTAAATTTACCATAAAATTTACTTTTATCTTGGGAAAATATTTAAGTTTACAGAGCACTAAATAAAATTGGTAATTTTAAAATTTAAATTCATTGTCCTTTATTTCCTTTGTATTTTGTAAGACCTTTTACCTACTCATTGTAAACATATAAAATAATGTATTATAAATTCAGCTTAAGTTTTTTGTTTAAGCATCGAAAAAGTAGTCTATTTAATCATCACCAATTAACAATTAAATCGGAATTCGGTAGTCCTTTTGGAAGGAAAGCCGAGAAAGGTGTGGCAATGGACACGCTACTCTGGACCATAATGAATGTGTTGAATGAAATGAAAATAATTTTTCTTGTTATCCTGCCTCCCCAGGAGCACAAATTGAGCGGAAAATAACTAATAAAGTCGGACGTGGACGGAGGCCATGAATAAAATGCAAGGCTCCCAGGCATTTGCCAAGATTACCGAAGAACGGGTGGCGGTATTGTGGGTGGGGAAAATGGTGAAATGGGGAAAATTCAACCAGCCATAGACCATTAGAGGGAAAGAAGGGAAAGGGAAGGTTCTGGGTCAGAAGGAAGCCCTCTCCGGGCACGTGCAAAATGGCAGCTCAAATTGAAATGCTGCCGATGCCACAATGGGTAATTTTCATTTCAATTTTCACAGTTTTCCTCCACTCCGTTGGTCTGACAATTTTTTGCTCATTTGCAGTTTGCATTTGAGAATTGAACTTGTGCCCGGAGCGAACAATGATGTTTCAGATGATGATGGAGAATCTCTACAGGATTTTTTTTCATTCGCTCGCCATCCAAAGGAAAACTTTATCCCGGCAGCTGCGTGTGGCAAGAAAAAGTTTGGGAAATGTAGAAAATGTTTGCATCATATTGAAAACTCTTAACATTCTTCGCCGCTTACGTTGCCATGGCCCCTCGAAACTTTCAGCTAGTTTCTGTATTTAATAATAAGGGGGAAACAGGAAAGAATTTCTTGGTTGTCACATTGAAAACATTGCAAAAGTTTGTATAGAAAAATATATTGTCAGTATAGACGTATTTACATGAAAATAAATTTAAAAAAAGTCGTGGCACAATCGATTCAGTGAAATTGATTTTCCATTGTCTTAAAGCTATAATTGATTTCGTTCTAAAAATAAACAAATAGAAAAAACATTTTGTAAAGAAATAAATTCTAAAGTACATATCCATATCAATTACCATTTATTTTTTAATATGAATATTTTTAAATTAATGACAACTTAATGAGTTAGTAACAAGAAACAATCTTATAATTGGACATTTTTAAATTGACTAATTTAAATTTGTATAGCGTTCGATTAAATAATTTTAATTTTTAATAAGAAATAAAATTACTGGACAACCGGAATACATTTGATCATTGTTTGCTCATACATTTTTCCCTATTCCAAGTATATAAACACGTTTTCAATTATTCTGTTCAATTACTAGCTTCGATTAATTAGCACAGCTGCCAGAATTGGTAAATACATAGAAGTAATGCCTATATACGAATTTTGACAGGGGCTGTTTCACTCAACTCCCTTCTACTCAATTATATTCCCCTCAATTCCTTTTTGAGTTGAGCTCCTTTTTGTTTTGAGTCATTTGTTTTGAGGGGTAATTTTGAGTTTGAGGGGTATTTTTGAGTGGGGGTTGGATTTGAGTTTGAGTTCGAGTGCATTTGATTCCATGTTTTTTCTTTCGCGATGTCATGCTATGTTTTCAACCCCTTTCAGATGATTTCCATGTTTTCCCCTCGCTCAAACCATTCCCACTCAAAATGTGTCTGTGCTAAAGCAGTGGGAACAGTTTGCCCCGCCAACAGAGGGCGCTGGTAAGCTCTGCAAGGATATGCAAATTATTTCCAGTACTTTTTTTCTTTTTCTATTTATTCAGATTTATTTGTTAGTTTACCTAAACCTGTCGCCAGGTGGTGTCTTTTAGTAATAGAAAAATATTTACTATTTCTGTCCGATTTAAGGACCTCAGTCAGGCCATTCAAATCGCCTTTCTTTCATTTTTCTGCAACTCAATTTTGCACTTTTTTGTTTCACAGCAGCATTTTGAAGAGATGCACTTAGGCGCAGATTTTAATTACTTTCCGGCCGACTGGCAACGGAAGAAGCACACACAAAGATCCTTGGGCATGGGGGTATCCATTTGTTCACCAGAGAAGGGTGTGTGCGGGGGTGTGTATCCTTTTTGCAACATTTAGAGAATGCATTTATCTGACGGACCCTCGCTGCCGAGAATCTGGCATCTGAATTAGCCGCTCGCCTTTGTCGCACTCAGAGGAAGGCAGAAAGAAAAGAGTCCGCCTCAAGTGCAGGGCATTATGTATTCATGGCTAAAAGAAAAACCTACGACACACACATGTGTGCGTGTGTGTGGCAAAAAGTATGGGGGGGAGGGGTGAATTCAAGGGGGCTGGGGAGGGGCCAAAGAAATGCCGGGCAAGTGCACTTAGCAGCTTGTAGACGCCCCAGTTGACATTGCCACACGCACACCAGCGTGTCTGCCACTTGGGGGTTGTTTTCTTCGAGCCATAAAAAATTCGCACATGAGCAAGACACACTTACACACACACACACACACACCCGCAAAAAGCGAGACAATGGCGCTGGCAAAAAAAGTGAAGAGGGGGAGGGGGCGGGTAGGAAATGGAGGGGGAGATCCTGGCTCGAAGTGGTTGCTTGCAACCCTGCTGCAATTTTCAAATGGCCCAAACGCTCAAGGCGCAACAACGGCAACGACATGTCCATGTTGTCCTGGCCGCCTTTGTTACAGTCCTCGCTCGCAGGACCCCCTCTCCCATTTCCTACCCCCTCCCCATCCCCCCTTGCCACGTCCATGCGAGTCCCCACTCGTGTAATCACAAACATGCTACAAAAGCCAGAAACAGGCTCAAGTTAATGACTTGGCAACATGTTGAGAACGCTGCGAGAGCAGAACTCGGATGCACTTCGCAAAGGACATGCACTGAAAGCCTACTGATGCTATCGTTAAATAAATAAATAGGTGTACAGAAAACTGTCAATTCAATGGTTTTTTAAATTTATTTTTCGAAAATAAAACATCATCACCTAAAATTAAACAAGAAAACTTTATGTAACAGCATATTTTAAAGTCTACTAAATTTTAATATCAAATTGAATTTAAATTTTTGTTTTTGTCTCATCAGTTATTTTATATTTATTAAGATCCTTTAGCTTAAAATAAATATAAAGCTTTAATACAACAGTGTTAACTAAATATGCAATTTTTTTGTTTTCAAAACAAAATATTTTATAAAACTATTAATCAAGATACATTTTGTCGTAACAGAGAGGTTTTGTCTATTAATAAGTCACTTTAATGACTATTTTAAGATCCGTAAAATGTAAATATAAATACTTCCTTTATAATACTAACCTATTTTTATAATAGCCCTAAAGAAAACAAAAAATGTAATCGTTTCTGCAAGTGCAACTGCAGATGAAGTTGAATTCAAAGCTGTGGCTGGAGATGGATGTGGGATATGCACCTGCATTTTATTGCATCCTGTCGGAGGGCCAAACAATGGTTCTTTGTCTAGGCCCGTCTATCCAGCTTTCCATCGTTTTCAGCCATCCAGCTGTTGGCCGCGAACAATTCCCATCGCTCGGAGTCAAAGTCGCGATGATCTTGATAGCTAATTGAGCTGGGACAGCTGGCTGGAATTTGTCCCATGTCTTGTGGGCCAGAGAATTGTTTACCATATCGGATGGCGAAGTTTTCCTTTGGTTCGATTCATCCCGACCCAACAGTCCCCCCCCTTCCCCCTCCTGTATTAATCCATCTCCTGGGGGTGTCACGCATGCGCCTTTGTCACCCGTCTGAGCCATGTCAACACTTCGAATGTTCCTGGCCATTTTTGGGCAAATAACTTGCTCAGTTGCTCAGTTTGCTGCGTTGCCCAGTTGGCCAGCTGAAATCCCGTTAGCGCGGACGGCCTAAAGAGTTGTCATTCAGTTGTCGCCGCAGACCACCGTTGGAGATGATGTCGCGTCTCCATCTGTCTTTGCCTTTTTTTTATTAACTTTTTTTTTGTTTTTAGTTTTTCAGCCAAGGAGCAGCTCCAAGTTTGTCTCCTCAGTTTTGCGGCGTGTTGTCGTCTGCAAATTGTTCGCGTCGCTATTATCCAGGGGCATCAATCTCCCGGCAATTGACAGGCCTGCTCCACTGAAAAACAGCCTTTTTATGGCCAAGACGAAATTATTTACTCAGCCACAAACCACCGCCACCGCCACCGCAATTGTCAACCCGGGAATTGGCCCCCTTTCGTTTCTTCGGCTGCCCCTGGTTTTATGGCAATTTGATTTGTTGGCAGTTTTTCTGTAAATTGCTGCAAGTCTGCCTTTTGTCTCGTCGCTTAATTTAATTTGTTTTTCGGCTCTGGCGTATTTATGGTTAGTTGGCGGTCTTGACTTGATTTTTCCCCCCTCCTCTCGGTTGATTGACGGAATTGAGAGGTGGCCAGTGACAGGATGGTCAGGAGTGTCGGCACAAGCTGATTGGATGTAAATGATTGTAGGGCTTATTGTGGATC